TTGTGCATCATTCTCCCTCCACGAACTCTTGGACATTGAACATTAATCAATGCCTTTTATTCATGTTATTAAAGTCTCACCAATGCCACAAACTCCTACAGACTTTATTAGTTTATCTAACCTATTAAAGCCTCACTACAAGCACCAACTCCATCATCACCTTGTCAATGCACCCAATTTATGTAGGAAAAGTTTCGTGTTTACACTTGCTAGGGAGAAAACAAAAATAGCAGCAATCAACATATCTCTAGAGCACTCAAGAATCCAAACCTAGTTCAAGGACCAGTGAGGTACAAACTGTTGAGAATAAATCTAAAGATCATGATATTAATATGTAATTTTTTTTTGCCTTAAAGAAACAGAGAAGGGCATGCACTAAACACCCAATAGTTTATTATGATTTTTATATCATTTACTTGGATTTGTGCTTTTCACGCTTTAATATTGGAACTTACCAAATATTCAAGGGAAAATAAACGTTATTACTAAATTCAAAGTTTGAAATTACAATAGATAACTAGGAAATCAGAAATTACAACAAAACAATATTAAACACTAGAAGTAGGGTTGGATCTAGGGTGTAGGTTATGTCGAGGGAGCTGTTTTATAGCAACCCATGGAATTTGGCAAGCTAGTAGCAAGGGAGAAAGTTGTGACAACAAGGTGGAAGGCGGCGATAACAGAGGGAAGGTGGCGATAACAAGGGGAAGGCGGTGACAACAAAGGGAAGGCAATAACATAGGGAAGTCGACGACAGTAAGGTGGAAATGACAATAATAACGGGAAAGTGGCAACATCAAGGGAAATCGATGCAGGGGAGTGTGGAGGATTAGCAACGGGGATACACACCATCTCAGGAATGAGATACAGTTAGAGAACCACTCAGAATCCTTGGATTTAGCCGTAGAAAAGGAAAAGAAGACGTCGATGATTATCCTAAAGCAAAACACAACAAACATCTTAACCTTATGCACTAACAAAACACATATACAGTCCTAGATAATTAAGTGTGAGCCCACTCATGTTGGGCGACACTCCCAAGACAACTATAGTGCGATCGGCTCTCAGGAATCATGGACTGATTGGTCCAAGTACATACATATGCGTAAGTCTCCCTTGATTGTGGTAGTTGCAGCCTCATCATTGAAGTTTCTATTTCCTCATAGTATGGAGTTAGATCAGTCATGTTGAAAATAACAGAAAGGTTTTAATCTCCTCCCATTGGAGGGTCTTCTACCGTGTCTCTAAAAGCACCTAAATAACATTATCGGATGTCTCATAAAACTCTTCTTCACAATCTGACCTGATAGACCAAGCAAGGAACTGTGGTCCGACGATATTAGCATTTTTTTTGCTTTCCATAGATTTTATGAACTTCCAATATATATTAAAGAACCACAAAAAACCACAAAGTATACTATACATAAATTAAAATATCCAAAAAACTAAATAGTCTGTAGACAACATCTTAAACCAACATATAACAGTATATCACTACTCAAAAGAAAATAATAAAAAGAAACTACAATCACAATACCTATCAATTGTAGTTCTTATCCTGCAAACTAAATCCTTCATATCAGACATTAATCTATAGTTTTTTCTAAAAGAAATAATTAAATTTAAAAGTAAGTTTTCATGACTTAGTAAGCGATTATAATCTTATTATGCATTAAATTTATATGCAAATGCTATGCATGAATGACCAAAAAAATATTAGTTTATCACTTAATCAAACTGTATGCTTTGATTCTAAATTGAACTATTCTGGTTTCAATTAAGTATTTATCTTTTTTTAACCTCTTAAAGAATTCATATCAGGATTGTTGTCAAACTCAAAAGTATCCCCAAAATTGTACCCATAGGTACCTTCAAAATTTGCACCCAAAGTTAAAAGCTTACAATTTTTTTTTATCTATTTCACACGGGTATATTACATCCACTGTTAGTACTATATGGGGTAAATTCTTTTTAACTTAAGCATTTACTTATCATTTCATATTAATTTAAAATTATTTAAATGTACTTTCACATGTCAATTATTTTCTTCCTAGTTGTGAGCCATCTTTCAAACTTTGAAGCTATAAAACATAAATGAAATATTTATTTTTAAAACCATATTGCAAGTTCACTTTGATCAATTTGAAATGCAACTTCTAAATAAATCATTAATCTAATGCCAATAAGAAAATAATTACTCACATTTTCCTAAAAAGTCCTCTTTACAAGCTTAATTCTCTAATTATTTCCTTTTACTATCATTTCCTTTTTGACAACTTTTTTTTCCAAACCACGATCCGAAGCCCTAATTCATTGAATCAAATTTTCTTTAAATAATATTCAAATTCATTAAATCATACTTAATAACATCTATTTAATTAAACAAAATATTTTATATAATTAAATGTCCAAATTTTTATTTTACCAAAGTTTGCTCGGAGTGATCTCTTATATATATATATATATACATATATAACTTTTGATTAATTAAATAAACTAAAATCTTGAAGTCACCTTTTATAAGCCTAGGTTAACTGCTCTAACACACATGCAATTTGACTTTCTATTCTTCCTCCTCTGCTTTATGTTGCGGCTCAACCTAGCACCGCACTCGCATGCGGTCGTTTTCTTTCCTCCTTCCTCTTTGCACCAGAGTCGCTTGACTAGGGTTTGTCAGGGCTAGCTCTCCACTTCACACACAACACTGAGCCATTGCCTTCTTTTCTCTTTTCTTCTTAATGTCAATCAGTTCTCTTCCTCCACGTACGCCGACAAAACATAGTGCCAGACTCGGTAATCTTCGACAAATTTACAGAAAGCGGGGACGTTGACTACAAATGCAAGCACCTGCACATGAAGCCCTTAGTTCTTCCTCTTCTCCTGCATAGAAAGGTTGCAACCTGATTCTTTTCTCCTTGTTCTTTGCTTGGCTAAGACTCGACTACTTCACAATGTCTTTCTCCTGCTCTCGCTCTCCCAACTTTTGAAATAAAAGATTGACTCCCCAAGTGTACCTCCTGTCGATATGATGACCTAGGAGTTCCAATAACGAAGTTTGAGCATTACTTAGACTTGGTTAGCATTCATTCTTGAACATTATAATTTTGTGGAAGAGGTGGAGAATGTCTATTCTACATTCTTTGGAAATTCATGTCAAGGCGGAGATCGGTAAATCCTTGATCCGAATTTTGTGGGTCCCATTTGTCATTTCATAAGAAAATTATGAACAAACGGATTGAAATTTTAGAAGAAAATTGTGAGCACACTAATTGAAAGAAGTACATGAAAGTTGTTTGACTTATTTTTCTGTATAAAATGTATTACTTGAAGTAAACATGAAGTTGCATCTACCACGTGATCTGATACTAGCCTTTGTTCATTTAGGACTCATTAAAGTTGTGAAATCTTAGATGCTCGCCTGCTCTTATGGTTTGCTGAGAAGGCTGCTTGTGGTGGATTTAGTTTGAATTTTGATCCAAATGAGGCAACTCTCCCATTCATTAATAGAGAAGTTTTTTCTGGTGAAGAACATTTTCAATGGAAATAATATTTTTTTGTGAATATCTGGAATCTAGATTTATGTGTTTATTGTGATGAAGTTTCAAAATCTTCCGTCACATAATGCCCAAAAATCGGAAGTAATGCAAAGTATTCATGCTATTTTTCAAATTATTTTCAGAGAACTCTTAATTGACATGGACATTTTCTTTTCCTTTTACTAGAGTAATCGGAATGTCCATATGGTTTTCAAAGTCAAAAACTTGCATTTCTAAGAATTCGTGCTTTGAGATGTAATACCTCCATCTACAAATGTAATTTGATTATGGGCTGAATGTTTTTAGCACCAGTTTTTATCATGCAAAAGATATTGTTCAACTAGTTTATAAGTTGAGCTTTTTAGGCTGAGAAGTATTCTTAGTTTTTGGTCTGCTGAATTGCTAGGGAAAGCATATGGGCCAAATCATTTGTTTGAATCAGCATTATTCATGCTTAATTCATGCAATAACGAAAGTGTCGATTGATGGAACTACGACTGAATTGGATGATTTGTGAAAGCATGATGAATTAATCTTTTTATAATATTGAAGATGCACCAATAAGGCTAATATATAAATTCAATGTGAAAAGCATAGGTAGATGATAATAGAATTTATTGGAAGGTTCATAGACTGTAAACAATTTTTAAAAGGAGATCTTATGAGATTGATTAGAATCTCAAATTATCAGGATAGTCATCATATTTTATTAATCAAGTAAAAATTATTATTATTTTTTTTTTGTCTCTTCTTTGGGGCTGAGTAAGCTGTGCTTGTGTAAATGCACATTGTATTTGAAAGGAAAATATTTATTTATTTTTTCAATCTTCAATTGGGTTAGTTTTTGGTAGAAACCTTAATGTGTGAATATTTTTTTTCTTTCTTGGAGTCAGTCCAAAACCTAGCATGACTTTGATGAAACCTTATTTGGAGTGATTCTCGGAAACCGCATTCCTTTATATATTTAAAATCCTCTTTGTTACACATTAGAAGGTAAAAGGTGGTGGTTAAGGATAATCTTTCTAGAAGTTGTTAACATAGATTGGTGTAACCTAAGCATATAATATTCACATACATAATTGAAGAAAATAATTCATAAACCCATGCCAAATAGTTGGAATAAGGCTTATAGTACTGATAAAGAACAATAGTTTTTTCTTTATTTTGATGGGCTTAAGTGATAGCATTATCAGCTTCACTTTTTATTTTCATTAGCTCCATTATAGCATATGCTGTTTACCATAACCAACTTCTTATCAACTAAACTATGGTTTAATGGATTCACTAGGAATGGCATTTGTTCTCAACGAGGCTGCCATTTTGCATGACTTTCTGGGCATCTTACCTATCCATTCTGTAATAGAAAAGTTGTGTGGTTTTATAGCTAATTTTAACTTCTACAGCTATTGTCATTATTCTGAATTTGTATTCTTTTCTGATGTGCTTTTTTTTTTAATTTTTTAGACTATTTCGCAAGTTTGTTTTTGATGCTGCTGATGAAATCGAGTTGAAGTTTGTGAACTGGTACATTCATCAACTTTAATGATGTTGATGTGGTTCAAAAAAATATTTAATGCTACCTTTTATTAAATTATAGTCTATATTTGATTGTGATGCTATATATATTTATGTATTATTGGGCAGGAGAACTTATGAGGATCTAAATCTACTCAGTATAATATTAAATCAGGAAATCAAAAGGTTGGCAACACAGGTACATTTCTTTCTTTTTAGTCATTAATGTTTTGCCAGGTTCTTTTCACTTGGGGTTTGCTTTAAGGTATGATGAGGTAAGATTGCCTCAGAACATGGAGTCAATTTATAGAGTAGAGGACATGCTTGTCCAATTATTACTTTTGAGTGAAGAATTATTAAGCGGAGTTGCATTGCTTTGTTAGGTTTTGACACTTTGGTTGTGCAAAGCATTTTCATTTTAGTGTTTACACTTTGAGGCAAAGCTTTCTTAAATGCACTTTATAGATGCCATCATGAGAATTATCTAGGAACTCACAACATTCCTCATTGATTCAGTTGCTTGCTGGTTCATTTAAATTTCGGTTCCAATGAAATAAATAATGTTGCCGGTTCAAAAGATTGTAAAGGTCACAATTGAAACTGATGCAGCACAGACAATAGAGTCAGTCACATGTAGCATGCACATAATGAGGACTTTTACTTGATTTATTTATTTAGCTTTTTTGTCTTTTAATTTTTATTTGTATAAGACTATAATTATATATTTTTTAATTACTATGGACTAACATGGAAAAAAATTGAAAATTAAAATTCCATATGAAGTTAGGTTTTTTAAATTTGGAGGAAATTATGCAAAATTTTGAGAGAAATAATTAATGTAATAACCAATTTTAAACATTTTAAAAAGTGAGATTTGAAGGATACAGGACGCTCTCAGGAAATCAAAACGAGGATTATCCCTTCATTCCTTTGAAAGAAAATAAAGGGGAGAAGCACAAGAGAGGGTGAAGGAGAAATCCCAAAGCGGGAGAGGAAAAGGGAAAGGAAGAAGAGGAAGAAGGAAGATAACTCGTGTGTGGAGGTGGAAGGCTGTGATAGACATCACTTGCGAGTCATGTGGGTGGAGCGACACATTGTGTGCATCTAGGGCAAGGAGTTGATGTCGTTGGTGAGAGCAAGAGGGGTTGACCGATGTCTCACTTGCAGAGAATAAAAAAGCTTCTTCTCTTATTTCGATTGTCCTGTGTGAAGGAAGAAGAGTCGAGCGGCTCTAGTACGAAGGAGAAGGAGAAGTGGGAAGATGGAACCTGTCGAACTACTCCGCGTGTGGGTGAGAAGCCTTTCCATGCAAACAATGCGCGGAATGGGAGCATCGAGCGACTTCTCTTGTGGGAGAAGGGATCATCCTGATCAATTGAAATGAAGAAGGAAAGGTTTGCGGGTGTGTGAAGGAAGAAGGGAGGCGGGGTCGTTTTTGTCCGAGCTTGTAGGTTCTAGTAGAGTAGGAAACAAAGCTTCAAAGGAAAACTATGTTGTTTAACTGAGCCTTATTAGAGGTAAGGTTTTTAAAAATATTATTTTATGAATTATATATGCATATAATTATTATTTGCCAAAGAGCAAGTGAGGTAGGTTTAAGGTAACTTTTAATTTAGAGTTATTTTAACTACATCAGAAGTGTTATACATACATACATACATATGTATAATATTAATTAAATATAACTATAAAATAAATAGAAAGTAAGATTTTAGGATTCGAGTGAATAATATATGTTAAATAATTGAGCTTTGATATATGCATAAAATGACCACTTAAGTATTTAATTAGCTAGTATGACTATTTTTATAAGTATTAAATTAAAGAAGGTGAAGTCAAAGATAAAGATTGAAAATCTAGAAGGAAGTCATACGATATTGAGATGAGTATTACTCTTAAATTATACTATCATTTTATATCCATTTTGAACCAATTGTTTGAATTGTTATTCATGCTTGATTAATGCAATTGATTTCTCTATTCTTAATATTTATTAGTCATTTTGATATGAATGTTCATAATCTCTCATTATGCAAAATTTATGCATTATAATATTAAATATTATATATTGAGCAATATGTAATTGTGAATGATATGAACTGCATAGAGTGATTTTATGTGTATACTAGAAATAATGGAGTCACCCATGTTGGTATTAGTGGAGAACGCTAAAGTATCCGTGCAAATATTAAATGAAAACTAATATTTATATTGATGTACCTTAAATGGTAAAAATTTTATGCAATGCTCCTGTGATGGTTATATACACATTTTTAAAATGGATATTTATATGTCAACATTACAGTAAGATATAGTGAAAGCTTAAAATTACATTGAATGATCGTATTAGAAAGTATAAACCTTCAATTACTCTTAAATTGATTTACATAAAGTTTGACTGGCTTTCATATTGTTTTTTTTTCATTGTATTATTATGATTTAAGTGTATGAGTATTCACCAACTTTTAGCTCAACATTGTTTTAAACTAGCTTTTCAGGTTAAATTAATCGATTAATATATGTGCAATAGAAAAGAAAATATTTATAAAAGATCAAGGCAACCTAATCTAAGTTAAGTTTATAACTGCTATAGTTTAATTTTCATATCTGCAGTGATTCTTTTATTTATTAAATGTTACTTATAGGAAATGAATATGCAAAATTATATTTTTAACCGTCCGACCGTATGTACCCATCTTGGCTAATTCTAAGGTCGGGTCTTGAAAAAAGTAATATCAGAGAATAGTTTAAGATTATTTAATGCAATATATGAAAAAACCAATAGAATAATTACAAGAAAGTTTAAAATAATAAATTAAAATTTTAAGTTAACTCTAACTAAATAATTATGTTAATTCAGTCATATGGATGCACCCGATATTATAGAAGAGGGGAGTTTGTTAAGAAATGAAAAAATACGACCTGCCATAGCTGTGAACACAAATGTCCTGACGCAGACGATGATGACCATGATTCAACTGATTCAAGAGCCCAAATTTCACTCTAGTTAGGATGAACTTATTGTTTTGGATAAGTACTTGAAAATATTTCAAGATCTATGTCCATCTTTCTTCAAGGGAATTGAAGATTCGATTGAAGCGAAGAACTGACTGATGAGGATAGAAAATATATTAGATCGCTTGATGTGACTTGATTATTGAAGAATACCTTTAGCTATATTTGGGCTTGATGGATGCGTGGTGGCTTCAATATAGACTGAGGGATGTGCCCAATATGATAGTAAGTTGGGAGGTTTTTGTGGATCTTTTCAGAGTGATTTTTACCTCTATCCTCTTGAAGACAGATGCAGGGCCAATTCAATAAGTTGGTGCAAAGAGAGGTCAGTTGCGCAGTATGAATTTCACTGCATTGTCAAGGCATTTCCCACAAGTGATAGCTTTTGCAAAAAAGAATTGTTACTGATTTTTTCCTGAATTGAAGGATTCTGCATTGGGCCTTTCTAATGGAGAGGAAAGGCTTTGCATGGGGAGTTTCCAATGGATATGGGGAGTTTCCAATGGAGAGAGGCTCTGCATGGGAAGTTTCCAATGGATATGGGAGTATCCAATGGAGAGGAAAGGCATTGGAAATGGAGCCAAGAACCATAACAATATATTTAAATGAAATTTTGTGGAAGTAGATGATTACGCGGTGAGCAAAAATGTATTCAGCCACATGGAAAATTCAGGATGAGAGGAAGAGCAAATCTTGAGAGATTTTACTTCTCTTTGATTCTCACATTATTTAATTTTTATTCAATATATATTAAATTATTATAATCTAGTATGCTGCCCTTATATTTCATATTTAAAATAATTTATCGGAATTATTGTCGTGTTTATTATTTAAATATTGTTGTATTTATTTTATATTTTAAGTATCAATTATTTTAAAATATATCATTTATGTCATTTAAATAAATTTATATTTTATTACATCATCCGACTTAACCCTCAACTTCGATTGAACCAATGATCCTTGAACTTTTTCTTCTTCTTGTTCGATGCCCGGTGCAATTTTCTCAACCTTGCTTATTTTTATTGTCCTGCACGAAAGAAGTGTCAAGCGGCTCTGGTGCGAAGGAGAAGGAGAAGTGGGAGGAAATAACATGTTGAACGACTTTACGCGTGGGTGAGACGTCGTTCTGTGTGAATTGTATGCGGGACAAGAGCATCGAGCGATTTCTTATGTGGGAGAAGGGACCATCCGGAGCCATCGAACGGAAGAAGAAGGAAAGGGCTGTGAGCATGTTACGGAAGAAGGAATAAGGGAGGTGAGATCGTTTCTGCCTTAGCTTGCAGGTTCGTGTAGAGAAGGAATCTGAGCTTCGAAGCAGGACTATGTTGTTTAGCCAAGCCTTATTAGTTGTATTGGTTTTAAAGTATTAATGTATGAATTTTTTATACATGTTTAATTATTATTTGTTGATTGTATGTTCAATCAAATCAAATATTAAGTGAGGATAGTTTAATTTAAATTTTAATTTAGAGTTATTTTAACTACGTCAGAAGTAACACACACACTAGTATAATATTAAATAAAGATAAATATAAAATAAATAGAAATTAAAATGTTAGAATTTTAATGAGTTAGTATTTATTAAATCGAATAATTGAGCGTTGATATATGTATAAAATGACCACTTGGGTATTTAATCAATGATTGTGAATATTTTTATATTTGTTACATTAAAGTAGGTGAAGTGAAAAAGTAAATGATTTGAAATCTAAAAGCAAGTCATGCGATATTGATGTGAGTACTCTCACTTTTAATTATAGTATCATTTTTGTTTCTCTTCTTAGCCAATTGTATGAATTGTTATTCTTCTTGATTAATGCAACTAATTCCTCTATGGCCTTAGTTCCACTCCTTTTAAAAAATGTCTATTCCTTATGTGCCCTGTTTTCTCTGTTTTCCTTATTGCCTTTGGAGTTTCTTTGGGATTGTTTAATTGTTGATTTACTGAATGAAATTGGTAGTTGATTGAGAAAAGAAGCATGAATTTTCATCTAAGATTTGAAGGCTTGTTGACCGACTCAAGAAGGTGGAGATTTGACAATCTTTCACCTCTCTATTTCTTTGATATGAAAAGTTTATTTATCCTTCAATTCATTTCTTATTTTTCTTTCTTGTTGCAAAAAAAGTAAGTTTTTGTTGTGGGATTCTTGTTCATTCTTTCTTTAACACGACTATAGTTTTTCCCACACTTATAGTCTGCTAAAACCAAATTAAATCCCAACATCATCAAGGCTAGGGCAAATATGACCTTATCTCCATATAAATTCTAGAAATGCTGCTCAATTTTATGAAGCTTTCCAAAGCACATTTAGATGTTCTAGCTAAAATTTTTAAGTGGTTTTGTGAAAACCCTTAATTAAATGAAGTTGAATTCTTAAATATCCACATGCTTTTTGGTGTAATACTTGGAATTTCACCATAAACTCTAAAGTTAAGCGTGATCTTTTAGGAGCATTTTGGGATGGGTGATCTACAAGGAAGTTTTACCAATGGGGGCAAAACTATGAGGCTATCAAGTCAAAAGCGGATAATTTCTCGATGAGTGAGATTTTGAGATATTACAAATGGTATCAGATCATTAAACTAATCTAAAGACAAAAATATCTACATGGTGGATGAATTTGTGTTAAGGAAACTGTTGAGGACGTCAGCTACTTAAGTGTGAGAGATTGTGAAACTCATAGGTAAAATGAAGTTGATTTTTTCAACATCGAGGTGCTTTTGGTGTAATGATAGGAATTTCATTAGAAATTCCATAATTAAGCGTGCCTTTATGTCAGCATTCATGGGATGGATGACCTCATAGAAAGTTACACTAATGTGGCAACATTGTGAGACCATTGGGCCAAAGCAGGCAATATCTCGATGATTAAGAGTTTGTGAGCATTACACCAGTCTGAATATAAGAAGACTTGCTCGGTGGATGATTTTGGTTTAAGAAAACTAATGATGAAATCATTTAGTTAAGTGGGGGAGATTATAAAATCCCTTAAATAAAATGAAAGCTGAATTATAATAATAGTCAGGGAACTACAAAGCTAGGAAAAGGGGGCTGGTGGCTAGGTCAACGATAGGACATTGAGGATGATCCACCCTTCATTTTTGCTCAAGTAATAGTCTTACCACCTGAAAGAGAATGCGATACAACACTCATAAAGGAGGGTAATTAGAGGATAAATCCTATAATAAGATAATTCCAAAAGTGTTCTTATAGTTCTCAAAGATCAATACTAATATTGGAACGACCTAAAACTCGAATTGTAGTTCAAAATTAGAAAGCTAATATGCCTATAGGGATGATTGACCCCACCTCTTAGGCGAGAAACCCGAATTAGGACTTGAGCAGTACAAACATAGAGCCAGTTCGTCTCTATTCGCGTGTTCTGGGACGTCTCGCCCAAACCTTTTAAACCTTGAACCCATGCTTCTGTACTTTGACACCTCTTGAAGCTTATAAAAAAAATTCCATCACTTCGTGGCAAACCCTAGGCTCGCCACCAAAACACAATTTTTGCTTTTTGATATATTGGCTTTCTTTCTCTCAATCTTTGGTTTTTCCTCCATTTTTTTCTCAATAATTTATGATGTAGATCTCAACTCTCTCTTCCTTTCTCCATCTTTGACAATTGTGTAGGCGGTCATTTACATAGATCTCACCAGTTATCCTTGTTTTTTAGTTATTATTTCTTCAGATTAGGAAGGATGGACTCGAGGATCTCCGGTACCTCTAGAGGGTTGCATTGCTACTATAGAATTCAGTGTTTCCTGCTCACTTGCGTTAACCACAGCTACTGGAGATAGTTTTATAGGGTGCCCATTGAGAATCACATAAAACCGACTATTTTTAGTGGGTAGATGGGCTGAAAGATTTTACCCCTGAAAGTGATCATCCGTTTGGAGTATCTTTGAAGGATGAATTATCTCGTGACATACTTCATCTGCATTTTAAAAATAATGTTATTATATTATTAATTGTTATTTTAATAATCATTTTATTAATTTTGATAGTCATGCTACTCACTGTTTAATAAGGTGTCTATATTTGTTTTGTAATGTTCTGCACTGAATATATGCTTTCAAGTATGGAATGTACTGGTATGAACAACTTCGTTACAAACAATATTACTATACAGGGGTAGAATGATTATTTATCCAGAATTAGCTGTAACATAACTATTTTGGAACTGCATAAAAGAAACAGACAACCAGCTTGTCAGCAGCAATCTTTACGTAGCAGTTTGTGCAACAACTTATTATTAAACTGTAGTTGCCCAACATACCCCAAGGCTCCCCAGTCTACTACAAGCTACATATGGATAAAAATTTGAATTTGCTAATGCTAAAGGGACAAATTGGACAAGAAAATATATTGTCACTCTCCAAAATATATCTGATTTAAGTTGGGCGTTTTTATTGAGGGTCTCATGTGTCTTTTTTGATAGGTGGTCATTCTTTGTAACTGTTTGTGTTAATGGTGTATTCTATTTTTTTGCTTTTTTCATTTAACAATTTTAAGTAGTTCCTCTTTCTATGGTCTTTTCATTGACAGTTATCAAAAATTTTTTGTTGAAAAAAAAATCCTTTAGCCTATAAGCTTAAGCATCATAGTTAAATTATGCAGTACTGTATTTATGTTCTCTTATTTCATTGTAAATTTAATAAATAAATTTTCAAATTTCTATTTTAAATTATAATTATAAATTTTGCATTTCGGTTTACACTCCATAACAAATCATACATATAGCTCTTTTATATTTTTTAGATCTTCACTATACATTTCCATGTTTTTTTGCAAATACTTGATCTTTGTGGTAAAAAAATTTAAATTAGTTCTCGGATATATATATATATATATTTATATTACTTTGTATTTCATGATTCTCTCACATCATTGTTATTTAACTCATAAATTTTACTTTCTTTATACTTCCATTTTGGATGTCTCATTTATTTTTTAATATTGACATCAAATACTTGTTCTCTAATCTCTAGATGTTATGTTAGTTTTCAATATTCTCTATTAAAAGGATTTGTTAGTTTTCAATATTCTCTATTAGAAGAATTTGTTACGCAAACTATTGAAATATTACAAATAACTCTCCAAATCTCAATTAGTATCTCAATTATCCATCTCGTTTTGGCAGGTTATTAGAGTTAAATGGTCATTACATGCAAGAGAAGAAATTGTGTTTGAGCTTCTACAGCACTTGAGGGGAACTACCACAAAAAGTTTACTGGAAAGAATCAGAAAGACTACAAGAGAAATGCTAGAAGAGCAAGAAGCAGTTCGTGGACGACTCTTTACCATTCAAGACGTCCTTCAAAGCACAGTCCGTGCATGGTTGCAGGTATTTACGAGCTTACAATCATGTTTTAGCTTCTATACCTTTAATAGCCCACATTCTTTATAGTTCTATGAATTTTGTGTATCAGGATAAAAGTCTGAGAATTACTCATAACCTGGGGATCTTTGGGGGTTGTGGGCTGGTTCTTTCCATAATAACGGGCCTTTTTGGGATCAATGTGGATGGAATCCCTGGCGCTAAGAACACTCCCTATGCATTTGCACTGTTTTCTGGACTTCTCTTCCTCATGGGAATAGTATTAATTGGGTTTGGCCTGCTCTATCTTGGCCTGAAGAAGCTCACCACTGAAGAGCAGGTCAATATTAGAAAGCTTGAGCTCCAGCAGCTGGTTTCCATGTTCAAACATGATGCAGAGACACATGCGAAGGTTAGGGAAGGTGTCTCGAGGCAACATAACTTACCACCAACTGCTGCGGATATGTTAAATGATGCTGACTATCTTCTTTTTGCCTGAGCATTGTACTGGAGTTAATATAAAGCAGAAGAAGATCCCACTTACACTGACATTTCTCTCAACCTTCTGAAAAGGCCATGGAGATTGAAGTCTCCTCTAATGATCGGAGATTCCTGCAGATTATGGCCTCTTTCTAGAGATGGTTTCAAGATTACTGCGTTTTGGGTGCTCACAATGACAATAAACCAAATTTGCAGCATAGCTAAACATGTGCCATTTAAATATAATGGTTGGAACTTCATCAAAAAGTCCGAAGTATATGCGGTGGGTGAGAGTTAGGGCTGTTATTATCATATTTGTAGTATGATTTCTACTTTCCAATGAGCAGTGCTTCTTTATTTATAAATTAGAAATATATTTTACTTTTTTGATTTTGGTGCATCACAACGTTAGAGAAACATGGAGAGATGATTTGGTGGGTGTATGCATTTGTTGCATAATACAGAAATCATGTTAGGATGTGTTTACTTATTGAATGTAAAGAGGATTTTTTATTTCTGCGTTTGTAGAAGTATTTGAATTTATGATCTGGTTTATTGTCCATGGCAGTCGTTAGTTTTCAAATTGGTGGTTAATTGGACCGTAGAACTCTGAACTACAGTATTTGTGCAGGTCATCCGTCAATTCTATGAATTTCTGTGATAGCTTGAGATTTGCTTCTATTACCTCTTATGAGGTACTTTTAATATTGTTTGTATTATTGATTTTTTACTTATTTTGTAATGATGCTACGTATATTTTTAAATTGAATTGTATAATGTGTGAACACAACCTAGGTAGCAGTAAAAAGTAGAGAGAACTCCAGAGCAGAAAAGAGGAAAGAGAACACTGAGAAATTTGGGTAAGTAATTACTCATAAATTTTCAGTACCTTTTTTTGGTATGGATGTAAGGAAGTGTAGAGTTTTTGCTACTCCGCTCTCTCGTTTTACTACGTGTTTTCTTGAGTTAGGAGTCTGGCGAAAGATTTTCTGCATTTCTGTCTTCTTCGTGTTATTATGACAATTTTGAAAGCTTAGGTTATGTCGAATGGGTTTATGTTTTCTCTCCTATTTCACCCCCTTAGTTACTTCCTCGACCCGGTAGGGGTGCAAGACGGGAAGGTTTTAGGGTTGAAAATCATTTGAAGGACAATGTCATGTTTAAGATACTTTATTTTACTAATCCAGAGTATCTTAGGGAGGCCACTATTTTTAGCTTCAAAGCCAATTAAATTTTAAGATGTTATAGTTTATAAAATTTCTGACAATGCGAGCAACTTTATTACTGGTAAGTATTATACATTTATTTATTGAGAAAGATCATGTAATATTTCAATTTTGGTTTAAAATGGATATGTTTCTGTACATTTATTTATTTAGAAAATTCTTTTGTATAATTAAGTGTCATTTGTTAGGATAATCCATGTAATTTCATATACTTAGTTGTCTGTATATTTTTTGTTGTATTAATGCAGAATTTTAGAAATTGAAATGCTATCAAGCTTTAGGTTAGATTTCTTCATAAAGTCTTAAATTTATGTATATATTTAGCAATTAATTAGCTGTGTATGGTGTGATTGCCGAACTAAAAGTCTTATTTAAGAAATAATATTATTGATTGGTTATAATTATAAGAAGTTTAATTAGGATTCTTCAAAAATATGTTGAACTAGCACTGAGTTTATTTTATTTTGTTGATGTGCATTGATACTTTCTTGAAGTAAATTTTTTAATTGAAGTTCCAACAATGCTTATCTGCGATGTTTATGAAGTTTTATGCTGTCTTTATTTAGAAAACAAAATTCAATTAATGCAACAATTTATCATGTAACTTGTTATGTATAGTCTGATTAATGAAGTGAAAACCTTTTCGTACGACCCAAATAAGGCTCATTTGTGTTGTTTATAAAAACTATGTTTGGGTTTCTTCAGAAATTTGTATAATTAATAAAAAAAATTATTTTGCATGCTTTGTAGGATAGTTTTATGAAGTGAAAGCTTTTTTTAATCGTCTAACAACGGTGATGTGTTATGTATATGAAGTTTTAGATCACACTTCTTCACAAAATATTGAATTTATGCAAAACTTTGTCATCTAATTTGTTGTGTATGGAGTGGTAACTAAAGTGAAAAATCATTTAAGACTAACAATATTGATTGGTGATGATTATGAAAATTTAAATTAGGTTTTTTCAGAAATATGTTGATCTAGTGCTGAAATTATTTTATTTTGTTGATGTGTATAGACAATTTCCTAAAGTGGAAATATTAATTAAGCAGCTAACAATGCTTATTTGTGATGCTTATGAAGTTTTAGGTGGCTTTTATTTAGAAAAACATTAAATTAGTGCAAAAATTTGTGATGTAAGGTTTTTTGCATGGTCTGATTAATGAAACAATGCTGATTCGTGATGTTTATGAAGTTTTATGTTGTCATTTTTCAGAAAAAAATTAACTAATGCAATAATTTGTCAATTAACTAGTTGTTTATGGAATGATTACTAAAGTAAGGATTTATTGGAGGCTCTCATAGTAATGATTTGTGATTTTTATGAAGATTTTTGTTTCCTTCTCAAAAAATTTAAATTAATTCAAAATTTTCTCATTTACCTTATCGTACATGGACCAATCACTAGACTGATTTCTAAAGTAAATGTAAAATTAATGCAAAGTGTGCTCATTCATCTTGTCGTGCATGGATTGATATTTGAAATTATTACTGAAGTAAAAGTAGATTCAATAAATTGCTCTTGGATAATAAGAAACTACAATATAGTTGGAAGGTAAAGTTACTAAACTCCATTGGATGAGTTAGAATAAGATGTGTAAACCCACTAATAAAAGTTGTCGTGGTTTTAGATCTTCTATGAATACTATGCATATCAATTATATGAAGTTGTGGATGAATTTTTGTAGTGGCGCTTCTCTCTGGGCTAAAATAATGAAAAATAAATACTGTGGAATTGATCATCCTTTGGCTATAACTAGTAAATCTCTGGATTCTTTTGTTTGAAAAGGTATAATTGATGTGGCTAAGTACTGAAAATTTTCTTTGCTGGGATATTGATTCGGATCTTTGCAGTTTTTGGTATGATAATTGGCTTGGGAAATGTCCTTTACTTGGTTTTTACAGTGGACATTTTGACATTAATAAGCTAGTGATGGATGTTTGGATTGGGAATGAATGAAACTTATCCTGACTTGTTGATATGGTGAGTAAGGAGGATGTTATGCAAATTGTTAAAATTCCTATCACTATGGGTTAGGACTGTTAAAATCAAAGGCGATCTGGATAAATGTGATTCTAACATTTTTTTCTAAGTCTGTCATCTTCTCTAATGGATTGGATATTCATTGGGCTTAGAATACTTTGGTAAAGGCCACTTAGTCTTTTTTTTTTTTGGACTTTTACATAAAATTGTGCCTAAGGATGACATTATAAAATTTAAGGGGCTTCGGTTTCCTTTTATCTGTTTTCTATGTAAGAATAATGAAGACAACTTGGAACATTTATTCTATAGTTGCTCTTTTACTATTGAGATTCAGATTATGATTTTCTCTTTGTTTGATTTTAATGGGAATAGACAAAACTGCAGTTCTATTTTTGGTTTGATTACTGAGTGGAAGAGGAATGGTAGTACCCTTTTTGTTTCTATTCCTATAATTGTCTTTTGGTATATCTGGATGGCTAGGAATAAATGCAATCATGATGATAAAGTGGTTTATAAATATAATTATTTTTTTTATATGAAAGGTTTTGTTTATAAAATGTTGAAAATTGGTAAGTTTAATGCTTCTACTAATACTAGTGTACATAATATGTTAATTAATTTCATATTGCTTATGAAAGGAAAGGTAATCATGATATTAAGTTGATTATGTGGATTGCTCCTGGTAGAGGTTATCTAAAAATTAACACTGATGGTTGCTGGTATAGGTGGTATTTGTAGAGATTTTACTGGACAATGTATTCGCTGGTTTTCTGCTCATTTTGTTACCTCTAACCCGATTATTGCTGAAGTTGAAGCATTGATTATTGGTTTGGAGTTGGAGGTAAAGTTTGGTTGACACAATATTCATATTGAAATGGATTCTATAGATTTATGGGATTATTGTTGCAGGAAGAAATATTATCCTTGGAATCTTATTATCTAGTTGAAGAGAATTTTTTCTCTAATGAATTTTGTACAGATTCTTTGGTTCTTTATACACCGTGAAGGTAATAAATGTGTGGATTGGGCTGCAAGGAATGGCTTAAAGTCACAAAATGATACTTTTTCTAATCAGCTTCCATTGAAGCTTACTCGTCTGGTTAAAGGGGATAATGTTAGTATCCCCTTTATTTGTGTTGCGTATTGATTTTTATGATTTTCGTGTGAGTTGCATGTGGCCAATGATTCCTAGGTTTTTTCTTTTTTTGTGTGAATTGTATTAGTTTGTTTTGAGTTTAGAAGAATTATTGGCCACCCCCTTGAAATTTTACTTTTGATGGAATAAAATAAGAGTCGAATAATGCTCTTTAATATGTAGTAGCAATGAGAAGGAGGTTGCAAAAGCCACATGAATATATGAGTGGCTTCGTGACTCTTAATGATAAGTATGCATGCTTCTAGCAAAAAAATTATATTATTCAAAGTGATTAACCTAACATGTTATTATTTATATTGCAGATTTGGTTTTTTTGAGCTTAATTCATTGATGCATACTTTAATGTTTGATGCAAGGCATTGTATGATGAGATGGCCAAAGTCTTTTTCATTCAACCCAAAGTTCTGTGAAGAGTTCTTATATGTTTTGCATACTCAACAGGTAACAATATGACCCAATTTAATTTATTCATATTACACATTCATATAAATCAAATGTTAAGTGCAAGATATGGTCAATACATATTTTTGAGTCATTCATTGAGGTGAATTCAAAAGATGAAGCAGTACTTGTTGGACCACACCTCCTTCTACCAATTATAGACCATTCACCATTACCCCTTCCACCACCTAAAAAAAGTTCACAAACTAAGGACACCTTGTTTTCTCTTCATAGCTCTGCACGACATTGTGGTAAAAGAAAGTAGAAAATAGGAGGAAAATTTTGTGAGTTCTTTCAAGATAGATGAGATTTATTCTTCTGTGATTTGGGATTATGGCTATCGTGGTTTTCATAAATATCAGCCTACTTGATTCCCGTCGACCAGGAACAAAGAACTCCTTATGCCTATGTCTAGGTCAAAAGAAGCTTAGAATCTATGAAGTTGAGACTTCCTCAATCTCTATGACATTCCACATACTTCTTTGATCCCCTGGGATGATTGCAATATTCTACTGGAATATGTCTTTCCTCTCAGAATTATATGGTTAACCCTTTGTTTCCACTGCGCAATGGTTAGAGGTTGTAGTTTTACGAAATATTTTAACTTCCTAGTTGGCCAAACTAGGAATAAATGAAGTTCAGAAGTTAACCAATAACATCGACCATAAATAGCTTAAGAAAATGATTAACGAAAAAATATTACAAAAACCAAAGATAAATCCACTACTTCTGACATCACGGAGATACGAAGAAAAGCTTAACTGCTAATTATAGAGAAAAACACGTGGAAAAGCACCACATGAAATTT